CATTAATATTTTCAAATTCTACGTTGAAAACTGATTCTAGAGAGGTCTCTTTCAATGACGTTTGGTCAAAACTGAAATTTTGGCTGAGCTCAGAACTGGCTAAGCTCAGCAGTCGATACCTTCAGCTTGCAAACCTATCTAGTTTTTTGGGTTAAGAGATAGGTCCTCCATTCACATACCGTTAGATAGCCCAAGCGATAAGCTTTAAAAGTACGGAGAGATTTTTTCGGAAATGTTTTTTTCTTACCAGAAAATGTTTTACTTATGGGGACTTTATTCCGTTAACTGAAAGTCTAGGGTCATTTATTTCATATGTTATTGCATTTTTCTACTATGCGGACCCACATTTATTTCATATAACCTTAGACTTTCAGTCAAGGGAATGAAGTCCCCATGAGTAAAACATAGAAAAAACGGCACGAATCTGTCGCGAGCTAGGTAATCGACTATGGCGCATCAAGATGAACCTGTCGACTCGAAAGCTCTGGTTTTCATAAGTTTCTATTTTAAAACAAATTCGTTGCAAAAATACGAATAGCTTCCGACAGAATACAATCATTTTCCAACTTAACTTATCTTTCGTACAGAAGATTACCGGTAATGTTAATGAAAACAATTGATTTCTTCATTCACTTCGACTTTCATTTCTTAAATTGTCTTATAAAACAACCATTTGCACTGGAGATCTATCACTTAGTACACAAAGGCTGAGGGTGACGACTTCTGAGAACTGGATGCCGATAGACTTAAAAGCATCCAAGTGGCAAGTGAAGGGCGGGAAGCAAAATGTCAACGTTTAATTGGTGTCTTTAACGGATGATCTTTAATATGTGTTTATTATTCGCATTGTTTAGTAATTAAAAAATTAACAAAATAGTATAACAACAAAAAGAATATAGCTACATCGAATTCTAACGACTGTCACGACAGATTCATTTTCTGAGTTCGGTGACGTATTTTTTTCGGACAGGCTTTGAAAACTAACCAAAAGCGTTCGATAAAATGTTCATTGTAAATAAAAGTGTTAATTTCAAAAGAAAAGTTCTAGAAAGTTTAAAGTGACAGATTCTGCTGTACTTGTGGTTGTTTGTAGTTGTTTAAACTAAAATAATAATAAATATTGATGTAAACTAAATAGAATTTGTTGTTAGAAACTACCAGGCATTAGCTAAAAAGCTGATGTGTCCACCCGTTAATATAAAAGTTTACACAAAATTGATTTTATTGGTGTAATGCACAATGGTTAAGTAGGGACGCAGGACAACTAGGGGTCCGGTTGGGCTTACGCTTCCTTAGTGAATTTTCTTGATTCAACATCATAATCGAATATCTGACCACGAAATCAGATCGTACTCTAATATGGAATTCAGATTTTTGTGTTGTATTTTGATTTTTTTCTCTTCAAGATCTTGTATTTTCTCGTTTTGTACATGTAAAGTGAAAAAAAGAAAGTTGCCCAGCGATACACCATAATCATACAACTAAAAATTATAGGTTCGCTGGTCTGATCTCGATTACAAGCTAAGATTTTTCTTTGTAAATCAATGATCTGTAATGGCGAAAATCAGGACCAAGAGCTTGAAAAAACAGGTAATAATCTACGTTTCTTCCATCATAAGCTAAACCTTGACCAAAGAAAGCTCACTGGAGTTACATGTAACTCCAGCGTAATTCCATTCATGCATGAATGGAACGATAACTTAGAAACAAGAGTTATGTTAAAATAAATATTGCTAAGCCCGTTTAGACTTGGATAGACTTCCCAATGCGCAAGTCAGGTTTACTTTAAAAAAAGATTAAGCGAAGGCTTATACGTACTACACTGACTGTCACTGACATCAAATTCTTGAACGCGGACATTAGCTGTGTCAAGAACATATAAATTACGATTTGGACCTAGTGCCACAGAATATGGAATTTTTAACTGATCTATTCCAGAACCCTGACCACGACCGCCTGCAACTGTAATTCCACTACTATCACCAATCACCCATTTTTGTATACGGCTACTATACATCTCAGCTATGAATAAGGTGTTATCGTCAAGATACAGTCCCATTGGATAACATAGTTGATTAGAATTTAACCCACATTCATTTCCGCCTGCTACAGTTGTTCCATTATTCACACCTAGAGCGAATTGTTGTACACGATGATTGAATGTGTCTGTAACGTACAAATTACCCTTGTCGTCCAAAGTAACTCCGAAAGGATTATTTACTTGATTTGAAGCTAGTCCTCCACCATTACCACCAGCGACAAGGATACCATAGTCACTACCTGGTGCCCATTTCAGTATTCGGTGATTAGCACGATCTACTATATACATATTACCATCTTCATCTAAAGTGAGGCTAGTGCAATCCGTCAATTGATTCAAAGCAAGTCCTCTCCCATTTCCTCCTGCAACCGTTACTCCATTACTAGAACCACGTGTCCATCGCTGAACACGAAAATTACCGGTATCGCAAATATATAAGTTTCCTTGATTATCAACATGAATACATTGCGGGTTATATAATTGTCCAGAACCGATTCCTGCTCCATTTCCTCCTGCTACTGTTGTGATTTTGTTGGTTCCAGGAAACCATTGTTGAACACGATTATTAAAAGTATCCACCACGTAGATACTGTTGTCGCTACCCACCCAAAAAGCATAAGGGCTTGAGAACTGATTTGAATTTGAGCCCCCGGATCCACCTGCTACTGTTCTTCCATTTGTATCCCAATTACAAACACTTTGCTTCGTACTATTCGTTCCAGCTAAAGAAGAACCTCACCAACTGATTAAAAGTTTTAAGGCTCATATTTACGCCATAAGTAGGACTTGGTGAGACTAGAGGAACTCTAAAAGGATTTCCTTTCATGGGCCTATTTCGCTAAGATATGAACGTTTCAAGTTTAGGACCGAAAATGTAGACAGATTGCTTGTTGTACCTGAATTTACAACATTAACATATATCAAGACAAAAATTTATTGTTGAAATGCTCATAGATAAATCGCGAAGCTGTTGAAAGAATTATGTTGTGATGTTCATCTGATGATCTAGCTGCTATATAAAAGAAGCATTAAGTATTAATATTTCACAACAATAAGATTATCTCAGATATGTGTTTCATATGCGATCATACACATTCCTCAATTGTTTGTATCTGCTATTTCGTTTGCATGCATTCGTGCTTTCATTTCTTATTCGCTAATACAATCTTTGGATGTCTATTTTAATGGACAATGGAAGGCTATCACTAGAAAAGCCTATGATCGAGTGCAATTAGATGAACTCGACATTAATATGAGCGAACGAAACATTATTAAACGTCTGCAGTCGCTGATTCAAAGTCGAATGAGTAGCTCTATATTTGTTCCCACGATAAAATACCAGGGTTGCCAGATGTCCCCCATAAGGGGGACAATCCCACATTTAAAGATTTGTCCCCGCGAAAATCTGTTCCCCTTTTCAAGGTAGTTTCTTTTGACAGTCTTCGACGGACTTTTCACTTTAGTATTACGCTTCCAGTTTAACAGAACTTTAGCGTTTAGTAATTTTTCTTGTATGAGATTTCACATAAGAAAAACGCAGAATCGAAAGCTAGAGTCTAGTTGAAGGATCTTTAAACTTTTTTTCCTTCCGTATTTATTAATAAATGTATATTAACTATTAGTTAATATACATACGTTTAAAACGTATCGATATGTCATATCGAAACATTTAGTTACCTATATATTTATTGATAAATACGAAGGAAAACAAGTTCGAAGACTTTTCAACTAAGTCATTAACTTCGTCACAATAAGAGCATTAATCACGAAAATTAGAATGAATACAAATTTAACGTACGATAATTTTCATGATTATGATTATGATCTATGATTTTGAATAACAAAGACGTCCCTAGTAAGAGCATTCGTGGAATGAAAACATGAACACATTAGTAAAAAGTAACGTCTGAAGTGACTATGTGGTGGTTTTTGTATGACAAAAGATAGTTGTATTAAATTTTATGTTTTGACATAGTAATATTAGAAAAACCAGAATAAAA